CCAATGGGAGGTGATGATCCCTCCAACCTACCAAGCACAGTGGTCTGGTGTGTCTTTAAGAGATTCTCTTCACTTTTCCAGTGGGCTTCAGTTTTCATCAGGGATCCTGAGAGAGGCCCTCTCTCTGTTGTTCACTTCTGCAGCTCAGGACAGTGGTCTTTATGCCCCCCTGTGCCTCTGTAGTGTGGATCCAAGTAGCTGAACAGCCAAGAGGCAGGGGGTGGGGGGGGATGTGCTGTTGTTGCAGGCATCTGCGCGGCTAAGCTGGAGGCTGGTAGGCGTGCCAGGGGGTCCTCGCTGCTTGGGTCTCCTGGTCGCCAAGTGGGCAGAGTGAGCCAGACTGAGCAGACTCAGCCTGCGCCTGCTCTGCCTGCACTCACAGCCAAGCTGGAGGCTAGAGGGCTGCTTTTTTTGATGGTGCATTATTTGTTGCTTTTTCAAAGCCTGAAAATTCTAGCTTTGGTTAAGTGGATTTTATTCACTTTTCTAAAACAAAAATGGCTCCATCTCAAGGACATTTCAAAAGTGTCTTGAGGTGGTCAGTGTGTGGAGGATGGGTCATCATTTGGGCTTCCTGCTTGTAATGTCCACCTGAGGTCAGGGCCGACAAGCAGGGAGGATGTTGCATAGGGACCTTCTCAGGATGGGTGCAGGGAGAAAGGTGGCATGGCCCTCAGCCAGTTCAGGGCCATGGGCATTGTGTGAGTCAGCTGTTTGTGACTCATGAAATATCTGAGAAGAACAGCTTAAAGAAAGAATTCATTTGGCTCACAGTTTCAGAGGTTGCAGTCCACGGTGAGCTAACTTCATTGCTTTAAGTCTGTGGTGAGGCAGAACATCATGGCGGAAGGGTGTGGTAGAACAAAACGTCTCTCCTCATGGCAGTCAGGAAGAGAGGAAAGAACAAAAGCAAAAGGAGGGCACCTGGGACAGGGCAGTGCTGCACAGTGGGCAGCAAAGTGCAGCCCAGCCCTAGAACCCCATGCCACTAACACCCATGACTTCACCTAGCCTGGCTGCTGTGGTCCACTGGGTCTGTCCTTCCTTGGACCCCAGAACAGACGGAAGGCAGCAGTCCCAGGCACCCCCGGGAGCTGCTGTCATCTCTGGAAGGCTTTCTGCATGTCTTTTCACCCATTCCCCACCACCAGGGAGAACGGCTGAGCTTCCTCTCCTCCTAGGGCACAGCGACCAGCAGCCCCATGGTTGTGACGAAAGCCGGAGGTCCTGCTGCTGGGACACCCAATGCTGCAGTGGAGCAGCCTTCCCCATCCCACCCTTCTCCTGCCCTTCTGCCAGCTCGCTTTCTCTGGCTATGGGATCCTGTGAGCTATAACCATCTCCTATCTGCTCTCGGCTCTCCTCTGTGTTTGCATTTGCCTTGCATGTCCCGCATCTGCCCACTGGTACCAGCCATTCTCCAAGTTTCGAGCTATGAGGGATCCCCAGAGACTTGAGCCTGTAAATGCTTCTTTATCTCAACATTTTGCTTTCGGACAGGAGTACTCTCCCCTGCTGGCCTGTGTCTGACAGAGTGCGGGTTATTTCTGTCCTGTGTCTTCCCCATGGAACTTCCTCAGCTTCCTTTTGCCATCCCAGGAGGGGCCAGCTGTTGGGCTAGGATAGTAGAGGCAGCATAGCTCACATGCCAGGGCAGTCAGGAGCTATCCAGGGTCTTCTGGCAGCCCAGCCAGTCCTGCACAGCTACCGGCACCCTCTTGCCTAGCTGTGGGTCCTGGATGAGCGACCACGCTCCTATGGCCACCACGCTCCTTCCTCTGCTGTCCTCATCAGGACTTGCTGAGAGCCACTCAGAACCAGGGCTGTCCCTGCAGAGGGCAGTGGAAAGGGAGGGAGCAGCCAGCCCTCCCTGGAGGATGTAGAGACCCTGAGGTGCTTGGCGTGGATGCACAGGGTAGGCACACCTAGGACAGAAGGAGGACAACAGTCTCTGGCAGTTTCCCCTCATCATCATGGCTGCTGCTCAGGATTCAAGGGCAGGAGAAGCCAGCAACAGGGTGGAGGTAGTGGCCAGGGCTCGAGGGCCTCAGGGGCCTGGCGCTGGGAGGAAGCCTTCCCAGAATGAGGCTGTCAGTGCCAGTGCCTGGGTCTTGGTCTCAGTGTCCGCCCTAACATCTTCTACACAGCAAGCTGCCTCAGACACACATGGGGCAGACAAGCCTGAGGTTGGGGGCCCAGAGCCCTCTGGCTTTCAGCAGACCCTGATGGCCATCCAGGCCACTCTGCCAGCTCTGCCTGCATATGTGTTGTCACTGTATGCAAGACCTTGGCAGTGGGGTCATGGTAGACTCTGGGCCCTCTGGGCTTCTGCTTCTGGGCCCATAAGGAGTCCAGCCCAGCACCCACATTTGGAGGCCCTGTGAGAGTCACCAAGAAGACAGCAGTGACACTTCTGAAGCTGGAAACCCATCTTTTATTCATTGAATCCAAACCACCGGTGAATTATTCATTCACATTTATGTAAGCCATTGAACTACAAGAATGACTGAGAGGTCAGAACATTGACCTTCCAGGCCCCAAATCAAGTGACTGTTCTGGCTTCCTTCTCTGGACCCTCTTTGCTGAGGTGGGCTGGCCCCTCTTCCCTGGGGAAGTGGCTTCCCTCCAAGCTGTCAAGGGTGATGGGCTCCCCTCATGTGTAGCTGCAGGCCACAGGTGCCAGGCATGTGGCCAGTGCCCAAGCACCCAGGAGCAGTGCAGCAGCACCTTCTCCCTCCCGGCTGCACACCAAGGGCTGTGGGAGTGTGTATGAGGCTGGAGAAGACCTGCACCCCACCCGCTTCTGGGTCCTGTGAGCTACACAGAAGGGGCCTTTACCTTCTCCAAGGTCAAGCTACATTTATCACCAAGATTTAATTTTTCCCATTGGATGTCAGAGATAGATTAAAGGCCACACAGCCCCTGACAGGGCTGAAATATCACCCCTGGAATGTGGTCAGTGAATTCTCCCTCCTGCTGACGGCTCCATCTTAGGGAGGATTGGCTGAGGGACACAGGGAAGAATATTGGGGTCAGAGCTGCCAATTAACCTTTTGATTTCATAGTTTGATTCCTCCATTCATCAAGAGCTGCAAGCTCATATCCTATTGAGGAACTCTCAGCTGTGGACACAGTGTCCACCAGGCCTCCACATGCATGATGAATGGAGAAGCAGTGAGGGCAGGGCCATGGTGCATGGTGCCTCATGACCCCTCTGCCGACAGGATGGTTTTTGTCAGGCCACTTCCCCTGTAGGTCCTGGCACCAGGATGCTGGGCTCAGAATATGGGTCTCGAAGAACTCAGAGGGCTTAGAACTCAGAGCTGTGGGTTGGATCCCCAAGAGGCAGTGAGGAGAGTGACAGCCCTGTCTGAGCCTTTGTGTCCACAGCCAGGCCATTGCACTCTGAGCCACTGGTCCTGCATCACCGACATGTGGCAGTGAAATGAGTGTGTGCATGTGGCTTGGGGGCCTGTGTCACCCTGAATGGGAATCCGGAGCTCCTGGATCTCTGTTTTCCTCAGTCAGTCATCTAAGGGCTTCTGGTTTCCACTCACCTCTCCTGGAAGGAGGCTCCCCATGCCCACTCACCTCCAGGAAGCCACCCAGACCACGCAAGCCCCATTAACCTGCCCCTGGGCCCTGGGGCGCGAGCTCATGCTTCTTAACACCTCTATGGGTGCTCGGACTCCCACCTTTTCTCTCACACTCCTCTGGGCAGGGGCTGGAGGCCTCCAGGATTGGCCTGGTCAATGAAGTCCTTGGTCCTCAGGCTCATTCTGACCCAGGGTCGCCTCTCCTGGGCACTGCCCGGGGTCAGACTGCTCAGGAGCATGCTCTGTGCCCCCAGCCGCACACCATGCTGATACGCACTTTCCCTCCCTTGGCCCACTGGGAGCAGGCTGCCACGGCCTTGATTCAGCATGGCCCTTGTCACGGCAGCAGGAAGCTGGTGTGGCCCAACTCACACTGAGGCCTGGCCAGGCCAGGGCTCCTATCCTGAGCTCCAGAGTAGACCTCCAGAAGGTGCCAGCTCAGGAGATGGCTCCATTCATGTATAAGTGGAGCTAAGCTCAGTAATTAACAGAGGGATAAATCAAGGTTTAATTACTCAGAAGGCACCTTGGGCAAGAGATTCATGGAACTGTGTGTCCTTGTGGTGGCTTTCCGCAGCTGGTGTCTCCCTAGGTGACTGTAAACCATGGCGGGTGGAGTGGGGAGTGGGGTTGCATCTGCCTCAAATGGTCCGCTTAGAGACACATGGGGGAAGGGGACCAGGCAGAGATGGCTGTCATCCCACAGCTTAGCTGTAGGACCCACCCAGACCCTGCTTCAAGGAGAGACCCCCTCACTAATGGCCTTGCTATGGAGGTGGCAGGCAGGTGACCCCCGCAGTAAATAATCCACAGTGGCCAGACAGCTTCTTGTCCTCCTTACTGCTTCCCTGCAAGGGCTGGATCATGGAGGGCCTGCAAACGTCAGAATCTCTGGGGCTGCATGGCAGATTCAGGTCTTTAGTTATATACCCAGGCTTTTAGTACTTCCTCTCCAGAACATTCTCTCCTGGGCATGTGCACCCCAAGTCTTGGCCACCCCTGGAGCTTCCCAGGGTGACTAGGAGTAGCAGTGCCCATTGGCCGATATCATTTCTCCAACTGAGAACAGGCCTGAAGGCTCCAAGCCAGGGATAGAATCTGGAGTCCAGGTATCTGACTCCAGCATCTGTCTTTCAGAGTCACTGCTTTCTTTAGAGTTGCTGTCGTTAATAGAGTAGCTTTATTATCACTGCCACCAGAAGGTCAGACCTGCTTATCAGCCCGCCTGACTCTTCTGTGTGCACAGATTGGGACTTGCTGATGTGGCACTGGCCTTCCTCGTCTCCAGGTGGGAGTGACTGGGGTTAGGACATGGCTGTCCTTGCCACCTGACCCTGCTTTGTCCCTGCTCCTCCTCAGGTTGCCCAGGCTAGCTGCTCATGCCCCCTCTACTTTTCCCGGCAGAGCTTCGGAAGCAGGTGGAAAGTGCCGAGCTGAAGAACCAGCGGCTCAAGGAAGTGTTCCAGACCAAGATCCAGGAGTTCCGAAAGGTCTGCTACACTCTGACGGGCTACCAGATCGACATCACCGCTGAAAGCCAGTACCGGCTGACCTCCCAGTATGCTGAGCACAAGAACGACTGCCTCATCTTCAAGGTAGGCCCCACCCCACAGCCTGGCTGTGCACAGACTGTCCCTTCCCATCTGGGAGAAAGCAGACTGTTTGCCCTCACATCACCAGATGTGGTGTAACAGGATAGGGAGGACATGCTTGTCACCTCAGGGTCTGCTGACCATGGGGGCCGTCTCCACCTGGCCATTCAGCTTGGACCTCTCCCTTCCTTTTTTGGCATCAAGCCTCTGCATGTCTCCATCTGGGCTCCCCCTGTGGTTGGAGACACTGAGAGCATATCACTTTGTCCCAAGGCAGTGGTGTCCCAGAGGACTAAAGTAGTTGTGTGAGGGGTGAAATAGGTACCTTCAAAGCTGCTAGACCTTGGCCAGAGGGCAATGTGTGGCGTGGCCCACAGGAAGGGAAAAGGAAAGCCAGTTGGGCTGAAGGGGCCACTTGTCCATTGGCTGAGTCTACAGCAGCCATGCTTGGCTCCTGTATGAGTTATGTGCTCAGTGCCAGTCTGTAATGAGGTGCGCTAAGGATTCCCTGACTAGGTCCTCTCTGCCATGGGAGGGCCTGGCCTGCTGGGACGTGGTGTGCCTGGGGCTTCCAGAGTTCCAAGCAGCTCCAGCAGCAAAAAGCAGGAATGTTACTACATTGACAGGGTGGTGGTCCCACATGCGCGTCAGCCAACTAGAAATCTCAAGTGACAAAAGTTTGTCCATCACTGACCTGGGGATGATGCTGTGGTCCCAGTGCAGCGTGTGGCTGTCAGGAAGGGCTGAGCCAGCAGTATCTGCGGGAGGTCAGGATCACCACGGTGTGGCCAGGCCATCTGAACCACCACAGCCAGCTGCTCTGCCCATCTCTGTGTTCAGGAGCGAACTTTTTATCCTGAAGCTGTCCTCTGTGTGCCCTAAGTATTTCGAGTGGAAATCTGAATATAAAGTGTTGTTCCTATGTTTGCCTCGTTCAGGCCAGCAACTTGCTCAGCTCACCCTCATGCATCTATCAGTCGTCATACTGTGCAGTGCTCCACCTCTGTGACCAGAGCCATGCCTCAGGCTCAGTCCCACTGTCTCCTCATTTCACAGCTCACCTCCCAGATTTCCTAGACATCTCAGGTCACATTTGTACATTTTTATGCATCTTGAAACTCACCAACCTCTTGAGTAAATAAATATTCAAATACTCAAAGTCTTACATTAAATAAGCGATCAGAAATGTATTTCTTCACTTTTGTATAATTCTATGTACTTCTGAATAACTCAGGATCGCTGATGGGTATTTAGCTTAATGTACTGTAGAAGTTCCTTTTTTTTAAGATTAGGCAAATATAGATGCACTTACAAATGGTACTATTGAGTATGTCACTATTGCCGCAATGTTTATAAATTATGAGGCATATTTCTCAGTGGATTCGTACACATTCCTTGGCTAAAGTGATTGTGATCTTACAAAAACTGCCTCCAGGGAGACCTTGGGGAAACATTCCAAAATGTTTTGTACTATAGGTTGTTGAAGATACAGAAATCCCAAAAGAAAAGAACTGTTCACTCAGGCTCCTGCTTCCAAAGGTGCCACTGCTAGCATTTTGAGGCCAGGGACAGGGAGGAATATATGTGAGTGCCAGCCCCATTGCCCTGTCCACCTTGCTCCCACTCAGTGTTAGTCCTCGCTGTCTGAGGATCCCACCAGCTCCCCTCTGGCCCACCTGAGGACCTTCTAGCTGCCTGTGAAGCCCACTGTGTGCGCTGCCTGGCTGGCCCCATGTATGGCCCAGCCTCCACAGGGCACACAGGGAGGGTGAGAGTAGGAGGCTGACCTGGCCTCACATAGCTCGCGGGATGAGGGGGAACTCATGGCTATATTGATGGGTGCTTCCCGTGGCAGTTTGACACGTGGGTGTCCTCTTCCACGAACCCAACCCTTCCAGGGCTGGACGCAGCCAGTGCCTCAGTGTCAAGATGGCTGGTGGGCAGTGCAGCCCAGAGCCATAGCTGTCTTGAGCTTGCTTTAGAACAACACAGTTGCAGTGGCGCCTCCGTCATGCCTGGCCTGTGTCTTGCCACAGAATGTGCACAAGTTCAGGATACAGTGGTTGGTCCAAGTGAGGTGTCGTGTGTCACCATGGTAGCCTGGTGAGGGGTTGTGTGTCGCCATGGTGCCCCAGTGAGGGACTAGGTGTCATTGTAGTGGCCTGGAAAGGGGCTGTGTCCTGTGACCTTGGGTGGGGAGCCAGATGTTGTAACCGGTCTCAGCAGCCCTATGTCCCTCCTGCCAGCCCAGTGATTTGCACTGTTTGATTCCAGGGGCAGCTGTGACCCCACAGTGAGGCCTGAGGTGGCCACGGAGCAGCTGGCTGGGCTGCTGTCTCTTGCCTGCTCAGTGCTCATGTCCCACTTATCTGCGTGGCAGCCTGGCCAGAACCAGGAGATTGTCTCTCCTGCTGCTGGGTGTTGGCTATTTTCCTCCAGAGCCTCCACTCTTGGCCGAACCTGCTGCCATCTGGCCTCTGCCCACCCTACCTCCTGGGGCTGCCCGTGCCACCTCTCTTTGCCCTAGTGCACCTGTGCAGATGTGGGGCCTGCGGGAATCCCACTCTGGCAGTGCCATCTAGCATCTTAAGCCTGCAGATACTGGCCAAGCCACCACACTTCTGTCTCCCCTTCTGTCGGGGTGAGTCCAGGCTTATCCTCAAGGCTTGGAGGAGATGATATTCTGCTGCACTTGGTGAAAGCCTGGGCCCTGGCCCCATAGGACCAGCAGTGGCTCCAGTTGGTGGTGACACTCTGGAGGCTGACTCGGCCTCAGCCCACAGACGCTCCTGATTCTACACGGCCTCTGCTGGCACCAGGTCCTGTCTGCTGCTCTGCCCCTGCAGAGCTCCACAGTGGTGCATCCATTGGCAAGGAGTGCGGGGCCCTAGGAGAGGCTTAGAGTCACGGTCTTTGTAGGCCCCTCTATGGGCTGATGTTTCTCTGGTCAGAACTGTGGGCTGGCGGCCTTTGGAAATCATCCCACTCAGGTACTGAGAGGAGTTTGGGAATGTCAAGCCTTCTGCTGGAACTCTCTCACCAGGACACCAGACCTGGTTCTGCCCTATCCCCTCTGTCGTCTTTGATCGCTTTATGCCCTGGGAAATAGTAAGCTCAGTGGCAGGAGGGACGCGGCCTGTGCATTAATGGCAGGCATTGTTTCCAGTAGGAGCCCCACTTGTGCAGAGGGCGTTCCCAAGACCTGCTGGATACAGATGGAGGGGAGAGATGGATGCTGTCTGTAGTGGTGCGAGCCTGTAATTTCAGATATGGGGTGCGGATGGGGGGCTCAAGCAAGAGAATCACAAATTCAAGGCCTACTTGGTGAACCTAACAAGACCCTATCTCAAAATTAAATATTTTAAAAGGGCTGGGCATGCAGTTCCGTGGTAGAGCACCTGTCTAGCAGGTGTGAGGCCCTGGGTTCAGCGAGCAGCATGCCCAGAGTGGGGAATGAGAGTCAGACAGGTGGCAGACTGACCTCTGGGGCCCAGGGCCTTGTCCCAGCCCCACAGGGCTGGGACACCTGGGTTCATATGATGGGATCCAGTAAGGAACCAGAAAAGTCACACCAAACCACAGCCCCCTAGCCATTTCTGTTTTATTTTCCCAGGAATGAATTTAAAGGCAGGAAGAGGTCTGAGGCAGAGTTAGAAATAGCTGTGCCCTGTTTCCAGTCGAGCAGGTTCTGCAGATGTGTGCTGGGATAATTGAGGGTTTGCTGCTCAGGCCCACATGCTCCGCTTTCCTTCCCAGCCGGGACCCAGCCTCTGTTGCCGAGTGGGTGGAAGGAGCTATTGCCCAGGGTCTGCCATTTGGGGGAAAGGAAAGAGATCTCGGCTCCAGCTCAGCCCGGTGGGAGCCTGGCATCCTGCCCACTCCGCACCCTCCAAAAGAGGCAGATCCCACCATCTGAGTTCCCTTGGAAAGGCTGGCCTGCACCAGGCCTGGAGGAGGGCTGTGCTGGCTATCCACCACCATCAAGGGGTGCTGAGCTTGGAAGCTCACCATGCAGTAGGAACTTCCCAGGCATCTCACTCCTGGTGGTGCTCCAGGACCCTGCCTCTCCCCTTGCCCCACAAGGAACATGTCCTGTCAGAGTGTCACCCATGATGATAGTAAGCAGTGCCACATAGTAGATGCCACTCAGGCCAAGGCCACATAGTAGCTACAACTCATAACTGACCCTGTGGCCCCCTTCTCTGATGCCTAGGACCACCCCATGGGTCAGCGTAGGTGAAAGCCTACAAGGTCCACTCAGGACTAGAGGTTAGGGAGTGGAGGGGCTGGAGCCACACAGACAGGACACAGAGGCAGAGCAGTGCCTGGTGTGTCTCAGCATTGTGCCTGAGGTCCCAGAGTTGGAATGCAGGACTGTGGAAACATCTGCCACAGGTTGCCAGGCAATTGGGGGAAGATCACATGTATACAGATGTCACTCCATAAATGCACCCGGCATGGCCGGCCTAGCCCCTCACTGGTAGTGCATCTGTGGTAAATGGTGACAATCATGGATGCTTTCTAGAGCCTGGGAAGACCTCACCATAGTGAGGGGGCCTGAGGTAGCAGCACTGAGGCTTTTGGGCTAAGCCTCTTGCTCCTCTCTGGCCACATGAGGTGGCATTAATCAGGATGTGTGTGTGATTCAGCACCCCACGAGATTTGGCTCACAGTGTAACTATCACTTTTCTCAGGGTTTATGTGCCAAGGGTGCCCTGGTGGCCCTTAAGCAGGAATTCCCAAAGCCAGCCCACCTTTGGGAGCCTTACCCAGGGGTCAAGGGCTCAGTTAGCCCCCTGCTCATCTACGCTTTGGACTGACATGAGGAACAGGCACTACCTCAGCCCTGCACCCTCCTTAGTGCCAGTCCAGTGATTCCAATCACTTTACTCCTCCAGAAGCTGATAGACCCCTCCCGTGCTATGGAGGTCAGGTGAGGAGTTGGCCAGCTTCTCCCGCACACCTTCTCACACTAGCACCAGAACTACCAGGGAGGGGCAAGTATGTGAGTGGAAATAGGCCAGCGATGCACAGCAGCCCCACAGCAAGTGCGCTGGGCGCACGCTGGAGAACCTACACCTGCTGAATGTCTTCGGCAAGAGAACAGGCTCTGAAAGAACCATTCAGAAAGCAGGAGCTGTGGGTACCCCGGCAGTGCGCTCTCATCCCTCGGAGAGGCACGCCCTGCAGCTGAGCACCTGCCGCCCAGCGACACCTGCTCTCCAGCCACGATGCTAGGTAGCAGCCGACTGGGTCTGTCCGGACTGCCCCTCGCCCTGTCCCTGCTGGTGTGCTTGGGTGCACTGGCCAAAGTGAACCCCTCCAAGCCAGACAACCCCGGCGAGGACGCACTGGCGGAAGACATGGCCAGATACTACTCGGCGTTTTGACACTACATGGACCTCATCACCAGGCAGAGATACGGAAAACGATCTAGCCCTGAGATGCTGATTTCAGACCTCTTAATGAGAGAAAGCACAGAAAATGTCCCCAGAACTAGGCTTGAAGACCCTTCTATGTGGTGATGGGAAATGAAACTTGCTCTCCAGGCTTTTCCTATTTTCCACCCAATTTCATTCTGTACCGTGAATGTCTGCCTGTCCTACCAATGCGTGAGACCATTGTGCTGAATTCCATAGTGTTTTCCTTTGTCATTGTATATGTGTGTTTAAATAAAATACCACGCATTAAAACCAAAAGAAAGCAGGAGCTGTGGTAGCCTGCCCCTTAGCCCCCCTTGGGGACAGCTCCTGTATGGCCTTCGGATGCCCCACAGTTCAGTCAGCTGGACTCTTCCCCCATCCGAGCCCACCTGACCTTCGCTTGGTACTCAGGCTGCAGGCGGGAACTTCAAAGCCTCAGTGATGGGCCCTTCACCTTCCCCCAAAGGCTGCATGGCAACAGACTGAGAACAGAAGGCCTGAGAAAGGGATGCCTCAGCTGCCCCCGACTTCATGTTGTGGGTGGGGGCAGTGGGCAGATAAGAGTTTGCCCCCAGAATCTCTCTCCACATGTGGGGCATCCCTGTTGTCAGGGCGAGCCCAAGGCTGGGATCCTCATGTCTCAGGCTACAATGTCCAGGCCCCTCTCCCCATCCTGCTATGGCTCAGGCCCTTGTGTGAGGTCTGGTGGAGGTGACAGG